GCCCCCTCAGACCATGTGGTCAAAGGGTCAGCCTACCAGGAAGAACTCACCAATTAAAATGTCCCCGAAACACAGCTCCCTCCTGCCTCTGCTTCCTCTTCAGGAAAGGGGCTTAGAGCTTCTGCAGGCACTAATTTAAAGCCAAAGCCCCGCCCCCTCAGACCATGTGGTCAAAGGGTCAGCCTACCAGGAAGAACTCACCAATTAAAAATAATAAACTACAACATTTAAAAATACTTACATCCAATTTCTTTTGCTTACATAACAAATAACATTTATCAATTGTACATGTACATCAAACTTTTATTACTTTCACCATTCTAAGAGTCCATTCTTTTCTTCTTTAGTCTTCTGGTCTTCTAGAGAGGGCATCTGCAGCACAGTTCTGAGTCCCTTTAATTACTCAAACCTCAAAATCAAAGTCCTGCAGGATCAAAGCCCATCTCATCAGCTTGCTGTTGTTGGCTTTGATAGTCCTTAACCACAATAGTGGGGAATGGTGAGTACACAAGACAAAATGTCTTCCCCAAATATATGGCTTAAGTTTCTGCACAGCATACACAATAGAAAGACACTCTTTTTCAATGGTGGACAGATGTATCTCGCCTCCCTGCAGCTTTTTACTCAGGTAAAAAGATCTCCATCGTTGTCACTCTGGCACAGCACAGCTCCTAACCCGGAGTTGGATGCATCTGGTAAACTCGCGCTGGAAATCCGGAGCTCTCAAGACTGGGTTGGTTATCAACGCCTCCTTCAGCTTCCCGAATGCCTCCTCGCAGCTGCTGGTCCACTGGATACTATCAGCATTCTTCTTGCGTGTTAAGTCAGTTAATAGATCTGCTATCTCGCTAAATCTAGGAATCTCTGAGAAGACCTGTTGATACTTAGTAACCAACATCTTCAGATCCCTCTGCTGTTCTGGGGTTAGTGCAGGGCTTATCTTCCCCTCCTCTGGGTTGAACTTTATTTCACCCCTTCCTTCCCAGAATGGCAAATCATGTTCTTCTTTATCAGCTGCTTTCATTGCAAAAAGCACTCTTTTTTCCTCTCTATGATATGGCTTAATGACATTTACATGAACTACCCTCCTGCCTAGGTGTTCATCTCCTTCAATAATGTAATTAAGATCACTCATTTTGTAAATGACCCTATTCAAATGCCCAGTTCAATTGTAGTTTGTTCCCCTTGATGGGCCTCAACATCAGCACCTCATCTCCAGGGTTAAAATGTCGTTCTCTAGCCTTTTTATCATACCAAATTTTTTGGGCTTGCAGGTTTTCAGCAGCCAACTCTAAATTTCTTTTGAGGTTGTTCATTAATGTGTCTGTGTATGTGACTACATTTTGAGGATCTTCTTCTGTTCCCAATTTTGCTTCATCAGATCAAGTGGTCCTTTCACTTTTCTCCCGAATAGTAGTTCAAAAGGACTGAACCCGGTACTTTCTTGTGGGACTTATCTGTAGGCATATAGTAATAATTGCAATTTCTGGTCCCAGTTATTTGGGTTTTCAGCCAAATAGGCTTTAATCATTCTCATAAGGGTCCCATTAAATTTCTCTGTTAACCCATTACTCTGCGGATGATATGGGAAAATTTCTAAATGTTTAATGCCACAAATCTGCCATAGTCTCTTCATAAGTTTGGACGTAAACGATGGTCCTAAGTCGGTTATAATCTCTGGAGCAAAACCCATTCTACTCATATAGCTTAAAAGACCATCAGCCACTGTATGGGACTCAATGTTGTTCAAAGGAATCGCCTCAGGGTATCTTGTGGCATGGTCAACAATGGTAAGAATAAATCTGTTTCCCCTTTTTGTGACCTTAGGCAACGGTCCTATAATGTCCACTCCAATGTATTTAAAAGGTGTAGAGATTACGGGTAATGGACACAGCTTAGCCTTAGTCCTGTCACGGTTATTACCCTGTTTCTGGCACACATCACATCTCTGACAGAAATTTTTAATTTGTTTTCCTATTTGTGGCAAATAGAAGTTTTGAGTTATTCTCTGCTTGGTCTTATTTATACAGTACCTAAATGTGCAGCAAATATATCAGAATGTCCCCTTTCTAAAATCATTGAGCAATATTTATCCGGCACTACTAACTGGCTTCGAATCTCATGTCCCCCTTTTGAACTGTTCATCAGTGTTTCTCTATACAGCAAACCGTGCTTAATAAGGAAACTTTCATGGGATTCAGGGGATAATTCTATGCTATACACTTTCTCAAAACAACATTTTAAAGTGGGATCTGCTTGCTGCTCCTGGGAAAATATACTGCTTTGGGGTATTTCAAGTGAAAATGCCTCAGCTTGTGGTATATTTTCATTTCCCTCTTGAATGTCAGTAACTTTTTCAGCTGCCTCTGTTTGGTTTTGTTGTGAACGTGTAAGAATTAACACTCTCTTGACATGCTCAGAGAGGTCTGTCCCAATAAGTACAGCTGAAGGCAGTTGCGAGGAAATCCCAACACGCCAATTTCTTTGCCAGCCCTTGTAACGAACTAACACTTCTGCTACAGGCAAAACAACTATTTCTTCCCCTATACCTTTAATTGTCATACATTCATTTGGTATAATGTGCTTTTGTGGTATGATATCAGGGTGACATAGTGTAACCTGAGAGCACGTGTCTCTTAATGCTAAATAGTGGTGTTCTAAAATCCCTATATTACGGTATCACCAGCTGCTTCAAATAATTGGGGATCAGTTCTTATAAGTAGACAATGTCTTATTTCAGCCACAGGAATATTATCTTCATTAAACTCATCTGTTGTAGAGACCTCTGTTGGCGTTGCTATGACAACAGACTCCTCCTCCCTTGGTGGAGTTATCTGTCCCTTCTGAATACAGTAAACAGATTTAGCCTTGTTTAAATTCATTTTCTGATGTAAAATTTCCCCTCAGAGTTTCCCTAAACTCAGGACACGCTGGCCAAAACACCACAGCCTTTGCTTTGGGCCACTCTCCCACACACAAAATGGACTCCACAGAGCTTCCCTGTCTCAGTTTTTTCACTCTGAAGCTTCAGCGCCCCTCTACTAGGCTTTGCATCCCTTGAGCCAAGCCCTAGAAGGTGACCTACGCTCTCCACTTCAGATGACCCTAACTGAAGACCCTTGCTCTGGGCACAATTTTGCCAAGGCTTTACTGGAATACTTGTATCCCACTGCTGGACACCAATTTTATTGTAACAGCCTCCTTATACCTCACAAAGGGGCTATTACGTCGCACTCAATCACTCTTAGTTTCCACTGCCACCAACCATTCCCTCAAATAATGCTTCAGGCCAAAGTATGATTTCAAAATAAAAACTTAAGTTCATTGTGTAAAACAAAAGGAATAGTAAATTACTTGAATATAAATAATAAAGCAATCACTGTAATAATATAACAATCACACACACACTCTCACAGACCCTCACTATATAGCACAGTTCTTATTAAACAGTATCTCCAAGCCCTAACCATCCCTATCTCAAAGCCCTATCTGGCCCTATCTTGGCCCTATCTGCCCTATCTGAATCTCTCACACCATTCACTCCCCTTATATACAACAGCTCCACCCCTTATGTCCCACCCTCTGTCACGCTATTGGCAGATGACACACAGCTTCAGCAGTGACGGGCAGGTGATGTCATAGCTATTGTAACAGTTACTATTTCTGACGCGAAGCCCATACGACTCCTATAACTCAGCAAGGCATCAGCCACAGTATGAGTCTCAATATTCCTCAGAGGAATGGCCTCTGGGTATCGTGTGGCATGATCAACAATGGTCAGAATAAATCTGTTCCCCCTTTGGGTGACTCTAGGCAATGGTCCTATAATATCCATACCAATGCGTTGGAATGGGGTAGAAATTATTGGTAAAGGGCATAGCTTCGCTTTAGTTTTATCATTACTATTACCCTGCCTTTGACAAACATCACAACTTTGACAGAAATTTTTAATCTGCTTTCCCATCTCCGGCCAGTAGAAATTTTGGGATATATCTTTGTTTGGTTTTATTAATGCCTAGATGAGCAGAAAATACATCTGAGTATCCCCTTTCTATTATTTTCTGGCGATATTTCACAGGAATCACTAATTGTTTTTGAAGATTTTCCCCTCCTTTCCTGGGGTTCACCAGAGACTCTCTGTACAATAAGCCCTGTTCAATGTGGAACCTTTCAGATCGTTCAGGGGTTAACTGTACATAAGAGATGTTCTCAAAGCAGCGTTTCAGTGTGGAATCTGCCTTTTGTTCCTGATTGAAAGTACTGCTTTGGGGAATATTAAGTCAAATTATCTCAGCTGAGTTATTACTGTCAGGCATTCCCTTCCTCTGACTTTCATTCCCTTCCTCAACTGTCCCTGCTTTCTCTTGTTGGGAATGTGTTAGAACTAAAACCCTCTTTACATGCTCAGAGAGGTCAGTTCCAATCAACACCGCTGCTGGCAACTGTGAAGAAATTCCTATTCTCCAATGTCCTTCCCATCCCTGATACCGAATGGGTAATTCAGCCACAGGCAAAATGACAGCTTCTTCTCCAATTCCCTTCACAGAAATCTTTTCCCCTTTTAAAATGTATTTCCGAGGGACTATATCAGGGTGACATAGGGTTACTTGTGAACACGAGTCTTTCAGAGCCATGTATTTATTATCCAAGACATAAATATTGTCCCCAGCTGTTTTAAATAACTCTTGATCTGTTTTAATTAAAAAGCAGTGTCTAACTTCTGCTAAAGGAAGATCAGGTTCACTATATTCAGCTTGTGTAGAGAGCTCGGCTTGTGTTGCCATAGCAACTGACTCCCCCCTTCGTGGATTAACCTGTTCCTGCTGCACACAGTATACAGCTTTAGGCTTACTTAAATTTCCTTTTTGTGGCCCAAATTCTCTATTTTTACCACACTGGGTTGAAATGTGGCCTTTCTCTCCACACCAGAAACAAGTCCTAAAGTTCAATTGATCATTCCCAGCACCCTTAACTCCTTTTCCCTCCAAACTTTGGTTTCTGGTCTGGTTCTGATCTGAGGGCTTGCCCACAAAATGGCCCCCAACCTTCTGTTGGTTCTTAAACTACCCTCTGGTATTTTTATTTGTGTCCTCCCACACTTTCCTCACAACTTTTCCCTCATAAACACTTGGTTTTCTATTCTGGGAAATAAAATCTGCACCATCTCCTGGTGCCTGAACAGTTTGGGGGTTTATCTTTCTTTCAGGATCTTTAAACTTTTCCGCCTCAGCTTTGCGCTGTCTTTCCCATTTCTTTTTAATGTCTAGCTCTAGCTGTCTGTACTCAGCTCTCTGTTCTGCTTTCCACTTTTCCCACTCTAATTGCCTTTCTTTCTGCTCAAAGGACAGTTGACTGGCCTCCTGCCCATCATAGATCACCATTGCATCCAATTTCAATTCCATTTGTAACTTCCATTTTAGGAATTCTTGAAATTCTATAGAGTCCTCCCACCTTGAGGTCTCCCTTTCTTGCTCTGAGGTAAATCCTTCCTCAAAATCCCCATTTTCATTATCTGACCCAACTGCCATTACCCAAGGCACTTGCTCAGCTTTCTTTCCCCTGGTTAAAGGCATGTTCCTTTCGTCAGGCTTATGACTCAACTTCCAAGCCTCAATTTAAAAGTCCACTTTTTTCCTGTCAGTGAGAGTCTGTGTTATAACTTAGCTCCCAGCACTCATCCACTAGCAAGCTAGCTACAGTGTCTAGGCATCTGCCTCCAGCTAGGCCTTTACCACAGACAGAGCTTCTTTCTCTGCCTCAGGCAACAAAACCACTCCAACTCACAGCATCACCCTGTCCTAGGTTTAGCTGACTTGAGTCCCCTCAACTGATCTGCCCTTGGCTCCGCTTTGTCCCCACAGAGCTCTCCCTTGACCTCAGGACAAGCTAGCCAACCTGCCACAGATTCTGCTTTGGGCAACTCACTTCAGAAATGGTTTCCACAGAGCCAGTCCCTATCTCAGTCCCCAATCTGAGTTTCAGAGCCCTCCTACTAGACTTTCTCCCCATGAGACAAGTCCTAGGAGGTTACCCACTCATCCTCTCAGACTTCCCTGACTAAAGATCTGCTCTGGGCACTTTTCCAGTCCAAGGCTATACTGGACCACACTCGTATCCCACACGCTGGACACCAATTATATGTAGCAGGCCACTCTGAAGCCTCTATCCACTCAGGCCTCCAGGAGTGCTCATAACTCTTCTTCAACTGCTGCCACCAACTTATCTTTATTATTCAAAAAGACAAGTGTTTCTTTCAACCAAAAACCTGTTTATTGATTTAATAAAATAAAAGGAGTAAATCACAGGTAGTAAATCAAGTTGCAAATCACAGTTTATCATTCACTGTACCACAGGCTTTTCCTCACTGACTACTTTGGCTCACAGGCCTTCAAACATGCTAATCACTAACGCTCACAATCATTCCACTCTATCAAACTCCCAATCTCCCTCACACACCCCTTTATATATTCTAGCTCCTCCCTTCAGCACCACCCTCTGTCCCCTCATTGGCTGATGTTCCACTGCCCAGCTGTGATGGACAGGTGAGAGCAGGGTTGTATGTTACAGTCCCTATCGCAGTTGAAGAAAACCAGCCCCAAAGCATGATGCTGCCACCACCACATTTCACTGTGGATATGGTGTTCTTTTGGTGATACATAGCCAGTACTTGCCAGATATCCCTGCAAGAACTTTAATGTTGCTGTAGGCCTCTTGGCAGCCTCCATGACCATTTTCTTCTAGTCTTCTCATTAATTCTACAGCGACGTTCAGTTCTTGGTAATGTCACTGTTGTGCGATATTTTCTCCACTTGATGATGACTATCTTATTTGTGTTCCATGGTATATCTACTGCATTGGAAATTCTTCCAACAACCTACTGCATAGTAAGTACCCCTTCCACAGATGCCCCCCTGCCCCCATTCATGGATGCTGGTGGTGGCAGCCCCTTTCCCCCGGTCCTTGGAAGAATGGTCTTCAACAAAACCGGAACCTGGCATTAAAATAGTTGGGAACCACTGTCCTGGAGGATACACTGATTTTGTAAACTCATGTACTACTCTAATATGCAGCACTTAGAATTTGTAATATTTAATTTCCCTTGGATCAAATACCTTCTCAATTTCAATGTTTAATTTTTTGCTTTTATTCTCACAGATGTGGTTTATCAAATTCTTCCCCCCCCCTTTCAATACACATTGGTTTAGGTATCTAACCCTGGAGCCAGAGGTTGGGAGTTTACATCCCTTCTAGCTCTGCAGTTCTAAGATTCTATTACCTCAGTTCCTATTTCCCTCACCATCTCTAAGTGGTTGTTTCTCTTCTTTTTCTAATCTACCAGATGATGAACAGGAGAAGAATTGCCCAGCATTATCTGGGGCAACCTGGGCAGGAACTGATAATCAAGCGAGAAAACAGAGGAATGAAAATCGGAGTGGGCAGGCATGGCCTTCACATGAAAGGACTCACACTGGGGACAAACCTCATAAATGCATGGAATGTGGAAAGGGCTTTAGTCAAATAAGTAACCTTAGGACACATGAAAGGACTCACACTGGGGACAAACCTCATAAATGCATGGAATGTGGAAAGGGCTTTAGTCAAATAAGTAACCTTAGGACACATGAAAGGACTCACACTGGGGACAAACCTCATAAATGCATGGAATGTGGAAAGGGCTTTAGTCAAATAAGTAACCTTAGGACACATGAAAGGACTCACACTGGGGACAAACCTCATAAATGCATGGAATGTGGAAAGGGCTTTAGTCAAATAAGTAACCTTAGGACACATGAAAGGACTCACACTGGGGACAAACCTCATAAATGCATGGAATGTGGAAAGGGCTTTAGTCAAATAAGTAACCTTAGGACACATGAAAGGACTCACACTGGGGACAAACCTCATAAATGCATGGAATGTGGAAAGGGCTTTAGTCAAATTGGTAACCTTAAGGCCCATGAAAGGATTCACACTGGGGACAAACCTCATAAATGCATGGAATGTGGAAAGAGCTTTAGTCAGAGTGGTGCCCTTAGGTCACATCAAAGGACTCACACTGGGGAGAAACCACATAGAACTCACACTGGGGAGAAACCTTATAAATGCCTGGAATGTGGAAAAAGCTTTAGTCGAATTAGTCACCTTAGGACACATGAAAAGACTCACACTGGGGAGAAACCACATGAATGCATGGAATGTGGAAAGGGCTTTAGTCAAATTGGTAACCTTAAGGCCCATGAAAGGATTCACACTGGGGACAAACCTCATAAATGCATGGAATGTGGAAAGAGCTTTAGTCAAATTAGTCACCTTAGGATACATGAAAGGACTCACAGTGGGGAGAAACCACATAAATGCCTGGAATGTGGAAAGACCTTTGCTCTGAGTGCTGCCCTTAGGTCACATCAATGGACTCACACTGGGGAGAAACCACATAAATGCATGGAATGTGGAAAGAGCTTTAGTCGAATTAGTCAGCTTAGGATACATGAAAGGACTCACAGTGGGGAGAAACCACATAAATGCCTGGAATGTGGAAAGACCTTTGCTCTGAGTGCTGGCCTTAGGTCACATCAAAGGACTCACACTGGGGAGAAACCACATAAATGCATGGAATGTGGAAAGAGCTTTAGTCGAATTAGTCAGCTTAGGATACATGAAAGGACTCACAGTGGGGAGAAACCACATAAATGCCTGGAATGTGG